AAGTAAATTTTCGAGACTACCATTTAATCAGATATATGAGCTGTGCTCATCCTATTTCGTTTAAGGTGATGAAGGACTGGTAGTTGAAGTTTCCCACAATGGTATGAGTAGAGCTGTCGTTTCCATTGAGTTTCACATATCCTTGCTTTCCCAAAAGCTATTCCCCCCCCCAGGGTGGACTGAAGTTTCGGCCACGCATATGACTTATCAACATCACAAGCGGGAGTCGAGCCATGAAAGTACAGCGTATAATATCGACGCGTTAACCATTAGGCCACATTGCCACGGGTGCCCTTGGGTCACAAGACAGATGTGAATTTAATGGAAGACCAGACATCTTTCCATATCATATTCTGTGGTGGGATTGTCGATTAAGTAAACATTTATTTGTTATAATTATCGACGACATTACTTATTTTTCTTTTCAAGAAGGCAGTGGAAAATTCAAATACCAGCACCTGGTCAGCTTAAGCGAAATAGGGTGAACACAGCTCATATATCCGATTTACAACAACCTACTCGAAACGAAAAATAAGTAATGTCGTCGATTGCTATAATAAATATAAGTTTGCTTCATCGACAAGCCCACCACAGTAAGGCAAATAGAAAAATGCCTGACATTCCTTGAAATCCACGTCTGCCCTGTGATCCAAGGATTCAAGGGTGAACACGGCTTATCTACTATGACTTTGCATGAAATTGTGATGCTTTTTTATTTTTTACATCCGTCCTATCCTTCATATGCATAAGTGATGTGCTGGACTAAATAGGTCCATTCATTCAGATAGAAGTTGGCTTGATGAGGCGAATGGAAAGTATTCGTAGGTCGGTCTCGCCAGATTTCGAAGAGGAATCGCTCTGGAGCTGCGGCTGTAGAGTTGTGCCAATATGTCCTCTGCGCACTACCCTGCGAACCCGATGAATCTTAACTCTACGCCAATTCACCAAAAGACGAGGGCAATAAAAGCGGCCGGCTGCAATGTTACCTACTTTTTGTGATAGGTCATACATCTCATGATTTGGTTGGAGGTCCTATGCTTTTCCTACATGCTGTTGAAAAGTGAAGTGGCTGCAAAAGAAGCGTAAAAGGGATGCAATTGTGACCGAACAGCTTCATGATTGTATTTAGGGACTCTTCGAGACACAGTCTTTCTATATTTAATCTGTTCCCTTGCCCACCTTTAGACGAGGCGAGTGGAGGTCGACGAAGAGGAGGCTCGAGATCGGTCCAGTGCAACGGCGAGAAGCCGAATGACTCGATGTTTCCGCCGGTTCCAGAGGAACGAGCTATACCGTATTTGGGCGAGAATTACAATCCGCAAGACGCCGACTTCTTCAAGAGACCGCTGCTGCCGGCGACCTGGCAACCGGTGAACTCTTCTCCCTCTCTCCGGCCACCCTACTCGGACGCCATCAGCGTGTACAAGATAACCGAGCTGCGGCTGGTCAAGCGGCCCGAGGATCGAGGCCTATTGCGTCGCCGTCTGGGCACGTTCACGGAGAACCCGGAGGGCAGCGAGTATGCCGGCCTCTTTCGGTATCATCTGGAGCTGCTGCGCTGGCCGGAGCCGTGCACGGCGATTCCGGGACTGTTCGTGAACGGGAAAGAGGGACGGATCTACCATTACATCGTGCCCGCATTCTTCCGATTGCTCACGTGGCTGACGGGTCAATCGGAGTTCGACTATGCCATCCTCATTCGGACGTACGGTCGCGATGTGCCGCACATCCTCAACGCCGTCCGGCTCTACAACGAGGGCCTGCATCCGACCGAGTTGCCGGGCCGACCGATTCCGGTCGGCTCGAGGTGTTGGTGCCTGGACAGATTCGACGCTCGCCCGGGCTTCTTGTACGCACCGGGCGAATGTCTGCCGGACGGTCGATTCCGGCCGAGACAAGAGTCTGGCGCCGAGGAGACGATGACTCGACCACGTGACATCTACGAGACCTGGTGTCGTCTCGAGGGGGTACACGGGGTGGTGGACGACTTCGCCTATTGGCACGCTCATTGCTACCATCACACTGCGGCCAAGCCGCACTGGATCGACCCAGGCGACAGAGAGCACCACCACATCCTGTTCGATGACAACATCCGTTTTGAGGCGGACGGCAGCAACGTGATCGATATCCAGCGTCTGTTGCCACGTGGTGACGGTGTCGTTGGTGAGACAGACGTGGAGGCTGACGACTGCGTTCGCCTGACACCTGATCAGGCCGAAACATGGGAGGGTATTTTTTATGTGCAAAACGATCTGCTGGCGATCATTCGAGATCCAGACTACTTTATCAAAGCGATCAAGGATTGCATTCACAAATACACAAAACTTGAGCCCGAATAAGAGACCACACTATTTTGGCCTTTCAGACACACTTCCATCATGTCCAAACCAGATATTCAGTTATGTTTCTTGAACTTGAGAAAAACCCATTAGCTCGCCTTGCGAACGTCTGCCCAAGGACTCGCAAGGGGTTCTTGAACTAGTGATTAATTCACTTCCAAAATACTATCATTTTTACCAAAATTTGATACCATTATAGATTATATTTTTTTTAAGTATGCATATATATATATATATATATATACTGCCGATTATGCACTATTTGTTTTAACTCCTCGTCGTTTCCAGACTAAACTGGGTTAAACTCTGCATGATTAGGACTAATAATCCGATTCATGCTACGCCCATTTAACGAATACACTTTTCTGCCCAGTCGAGCTCTACATGATGCTGAGATTGACTACGCGCACGCAAGCTGTATGAAAGGTTAAAATTAAGTTTTGGAGATTGAAAATTCGTATATTTATTTATATTTGCGCATGACTTGCATCGAATTTTGGTTTCTACTTGGCATTAACGTGTGATTGTAAGGTTGCGCCAAGTCAACAAAATAGAGTCTAGAATGCAACGTCAAAATTGAGCCTGAATGGAACAGCCACGAAAAGGACATTACCTTGAATACGAATTGGCTGTTTGACGTGATTTAATGATTGATAGTTGAGTTTTTCCACAATCAGATGAACAGAAGTCAGGCTGACATTGAATTTCCAGGCTGGAATGGAGTGCAGTTCCTATCTCGCCCCACCATCTTATTAGCACCCCCAACGGAGGGAATCGAAGCCGAGTCGTGCGTATGGAGGCCACGTTTGCCAGTGGGTCGCAGATCAAAAGTGCAAATCTAAACATGAAGAAAAACTGGGTTTCGAATAACTAGTTAGCGATATATTGTGACATTACTTCCCATTTCGAAGGAAAAGTTGGTTTGAAAGAATTCGTAAT